TATGATATTTCTATAAGGGAAGCATGTAGTATTTTCATGATTTATAACAACTCAACGCTGTCTGATAAATCGAGTAGAGTAGAGTTAGGGTAGTATAGTGTATAGAATATATATAATTAACAGTATCAGATCGCATAGTTTCGTAAAATATGTAACAATAATATTACGAAACAATAATTTATTATATTTTAGAAAAATTAGGAGCACTAAATTAAATTATGAAAAGGTATCATGTATTTATAAAATATTCAATAATAATAGGTTAATAATAGGTTAGAAGAATTGTTTTCTACTTTTGGATATTTCACAAATACATAATGTTTTTCATAATTTAATTTTGTGCTTCTAATTTTTCTAAAACAACTCATGTAACAACTCATTGTTTCGTAATATTATTGTTATATATTTTACGAAACTATGTTACCTGTTAATTCTTATACATATACTATCCGCTATACTACCCTAACTATACTCTACTCTACTCTACTCGATTTATCGGACAGCACTAAGTTGTAACGAATCATGAAAATACTAGATGCTTGTGACTATCATATTTTTCAGCCCTAGTGAAACTAACTCGTACTAACTCCAATTCGATTATCGTAAACACTCAATGAATAAATGTCTATACATAAAACATGCAAATATTTATATAAAGAATTAAAGATATGAAAAAATTAAGAAAAAGTAGAAGCAAATATCATGCTGACCTGCAAAACTCATAAGCTTTAAAAGAATGATAATGTAAGGTCAAGGCAAACCTTTTTATATCTTCAGAGTAACGTCTTCCTTGCTGTTTATTTTTATTTTCTTGATTATTTTTAAATATTTGAGCAGATACACAACCCAAATCAGAACTTAACATGTCATATGTTTTATTACTTATTGTTTTTGATTCTTTTAATTGATGCATTAAGTTATCAATCCGTATATTTTTTCGGCTTGTTTTTCTATTTAATAATTTCAGTTTCTTTTTTTCTAAAATAAGTTTTTCTTTGCAATTATTTTTCTCTTTTTCTATTAGATTTTTGAACATATTTGCTTGATTATTTAATTGTCTTTCATAATTTTGTCTCAAGCAACTGATTATTGCTTTAAGTTCCTTATTTTCATTTTCCAATTTACAATATTTTATGTTTGTTCTTTGTAATGTATCTGTAGCTAGAGGTTTTTGAGATTCTGTTAAGCCTAAAATAAAATACATAATTTGCATTACAAAAATTAATAAAAATATATAATAATAACGTCAATAAAAGATTATCAAATTTAATTATGTTTAATTATGTTTAATTATGTTTAATTATGCTTTCTATATAAAAAAATATAATAATTAAATAATTTTCTAATTTTCAATTAATGTATATTATATTTAATTATTTTTTTACCTGGCTGCATCATGTGCATTACATCAGATATATTACATTGTGCAGTGCTAGCAGTATCTACTTCATGTAAAATTTCAAGATTTACGTTGCAATCACTTGGATCTAATATAAATAAAAATAAATATATAATTATTAAATATTTTCTGATTTATATAATTGTATATAATTGTTAATATACTTACTCGAATCTTCATCAGAACTTTGATATAAATTTTGAGTAAGTATAATATCTGCTTTCAATCTTTTCACTTTTGATGTTTTGGAAAAATCTGTATTATTAAAATGTATTTGGCAAATGCGGCTTGCTGATTTTGGTGTCCAATTTTTCTTACCAATTGCTGCTATCCAGCGTTCCAATAAATTTGGTATATCCAAAGGAAATCTAAATTATTTAACATTAATATTAATACATTTAGAACTGTTTGTAATTGTAAGATATACACATGGCAGCGTCACAGCAATATAATTCTACCATATATTTTATTTTTATTAAATAATACTTAAAGAATATTTACTTTAAAAAAGAGATTTTTTCATTTTTTCTCCATTAATTGTTACTGTGCTTTCGCACTGTACGACAGCACATTTCAGTGGCATTTTTTCTCCTTACTTCAATTTGTATCATGCATTTATATCACTTTTCTCACACAAAATATTACATGCACACGTGGTTTTTTCACAGAAGCCATTAAAGGATAGAATAGGTTAAAATAACTGTATTATGGAGCTACACTGATTATATATCTATCACGTTGCTTCTGCGCATGTACACAATGAGATACTTTGGGTGCGTTCCGTTTCCACGCATAATGCGCATGAAGCGCAGCGTTAGAGTGACAGAAATACGAAAGTAAGATAAAATGAGAGGAAGAGCACTCGGGTGAAGTTCTCGAACCTAGGTTAGGTTAGTTCTCGAACGC